AGTCTTTTATAACGGATGCGGGCCCGTACAGGAGAATCTAGCAAGGCTCAATGCATGGTGTTTCTGCCATAGATTGTAAAATAAACTTGCATAGCTTCAGACGCGCTCTGATGGAGCAGTTCGCTGTTTCTGTCAGCGATCTCCCAATAATATCTAGCTGCAAACTCAACCTCCATCTGATCGACGCGTTTCAACAGATTTAGGGTCTTTTACTGTATCTTACATTTGTCTGTATATTTTTCAATAGTATATATATATATATATATATATATATATATATATATATATATATATATATATATATATATGCAATAGCTGGTCTTTTGTAATCTCCCTGTTGACCTGTGGCTCCCTTCGAATCTGTCTCTTTAAAATAAATTAATAAATACAATTATTTATAATATTGTTTAAGTTTTTTATATAATTAAATTTAAATAATTATTTTTATAAAATGTTGATAGAAAATAATAGAAGGCACCATAAATGTATTATATATATTTATTAAAATAATATAATATATTATTTATTAATAAATAAAGGTTTTAATGAGCTTTTCATACAAACATTTTAGAGCTAATGTCAGACAGGTGGGCCTTCAAAAATTGATTGGAGAAAGAAGTGGGCCCCGCAGTGGAAAACGCTGAGAACCCCTGGAGTAGAGAATGTGTTGAACTCCCACACCAAGCATGTTTTTAATCTTGGTTTATCTGGCAAAGAAATGCATACTTTTGTTGTGGTCATCTCCTCAGGTACATGTGGTTGTCTCAGCAAGTGCAGTATTCCCCTAGAGAAACTCACCTATGACATCCATCAATAGTCCAGTGACTTTTAGCAGCTATAGACACCTTTAAGGTATTATATTATTAATTTCTCCTGATTTTTCTATTCTATGGTGTATGTTTTAGCTCCTAGTCTGACTGTATTATCCTGTTTACTTGTTTGTATGGTTTACATTTTTTCCTACTGTATAGCTGTGACTATTTGTATGTGCTGATGTATTAAAACAATAGACGATTAATAAAAAAACTGAAGGAATATGTGAATATAAAACTACCTCAATCACAATCTTACATTTTTATGTGATTTATGCCACGAAAATGCTATTGATATCGGTACAAGTTTTAACAGAGAATACTGGATTGCATGTTGCTCATACAAGTTTTCTGCTTACATATAACTCGTTTTAATGCAGTTTACTTCACAAATGACCAGAGATAACTTAATATTCATTTTCAAAAATTTCAGTGAGCACTTTCAGGGTCATGAACTTGTCCAGAAGGTCTCCTTTTTATATTCCTTAAATATCGCTTTTTAACACAACAAATAACTTAATAGCAAACCGACATTGTTTATATACATGTTGAATGTGTTTTACGAGTCTCCGTGCATTTAGCTGCAACACACACGTGAAATAACCCCCAGCACAAGAGTAGAGCTCCACAATATGTTTCAACTGCATATTTATCTGTCAGAGACTTTACTGAAGCTGAATAATCCCCTCTACTCGATCACTACAGTCCTAAAATCACAATATTTCCCATTTTAATGATTGAATGACTAGCATGCTAACATGCTACTTCTGTCCATTGGAGCGTCATTTAGATTTTTTCTTTGCGTCCTTCGTTCAGCACGACTCATACTTTAAGATAATATTAATACTTACAACTTGAATTATAAGTGAAATGTTTAATCCAGGTAAAACAAATGTCACAGACGAGATGGAAATATAAACAACGCTCTCGTGTCCTCAGCGCGCACTCTCTAAAGATGGCGCCGTGACGACCAGCAGTGCATTGTGGGTAAAACAATGAACCGCCTTCGACTTGAGACTATGGGAACTTAACGCGGACAAAAAGCCTCAAATTACAAACACACAGCAAACAACCGCTTAAAATGACATTATTCTATGAGCTCTGGCGATTCCGAGTAGAATCGGTATATATTTGTTTTAGCCTATTCTATACAAATCTAATAACCTTTCTTCCAAATGCAAAACAAATACCATTATTTTGTCCCCACATAGCCTACAATGTTAATTGATAAGAATAACACGTTTTCATTTGCTATTTTTGAAAATCTGGGTTATTTCATCAAATATTGTTTTCACATCTCTTCTGAAGTATTGGTAAGACTTTATTTTGATGGTCCATTTGAGTATTAGACTTTGTTTAATATCTGTCGATAGGCTACTGCTCCTTCAACAGACATTTAACTGACTAAAAGAAACTTTGCAAGTACATGTCAACCTATACAAACCCTACCCTGCTGAAAAATCCAGCTTAAACTAGCCTAGGATGGTTGGCTGGTTTTAGCTGGTCGACCTGCCTGGTTTTAGAGGTGTTTTGGCCACTTCCAGGCTGGTTTCCAGCCATTTCCAGCCTGGTCTTAGCTGGTCAGGCTGGAAAGTGACCAGCCAAAACCATCTAAAACCAGCTTGACCACCCTGGTTTAAGCTGGACATAGCTGGTTTTGGCTGGGCTCTCAGCCTGGCTAGGGTGGTCAAGCTGGTTTTAGCTGGTCATCTTCCAGCCTGACCAGCTAAAACCAGCCTGGAAGTGGCCAAAACCCCTCTAAAACCAGGCTGGTTGACCAGCTAAAGCCAACCATGCTAGGCTGGTTTAAGCTGGATTTCTTAGCAGGCTAACCCAGCGAACATGCTACTTTAAGGCCCATGTGGGCAGCACACTGTGGGCCCAGATACAGGCGTGAAATGTGGGGCACGTGTGGGCCCCCTTTGTGGCAACCCCAAAAGTGTGGGCTGACTGTGGGCTATCCCCCACTACTCAGAGCGGGTTATCCCATAGTCATCCCACACTTTTAGGCTGTCCCAAAGGGGGCAATCTACAACCAGTCCACTTATATTCTAATAAAAATTAGTTGGCATGTAGAAGCAATGTAACTTAAAAACAGTCGGATTATCAAAACAAAGTGTGACCCAAAGATTGTGTTGACTAATTATTATCATAAATTTGTCTGAAAACATGGCTTTACATGGTTATTTTATACAAAAGTGGCAAATTGGGAAGAAATCTCATCAGTAGTTCACAGAATAAAATAAAATAATAATATGTTTTATTAATATGAAACAATTTTTTTTTTTTTTTTCACGTGATAACATTCAAACATGCCTCCTAGCAAACATTTTTGTGTTTAATAGACGTCTAATAGACATCTAAATGTAGACAGCTTGACTAAAACAAGGCAAAACTTGGGCTGTCAGTGAACAAACATCTAATGAACATCTAAGAATAGCCCAAAACTAAAGTCGTCAAATAGACAGATTAGACAGACTTTATTTGTGTAGTCATTTATTTATGCTTACTTGATGACTAGTCTAGTTTTGGCCTAGACGTCTATTAGATTTTCACTGACAGCCCAAATTTAGTCTTGTTTTAGCCAAGATGCCAATGTTTAGACGTCTATTAGACCTTTTTAAAAACAAAAAATTCTTGCTGGGCTGTAAAACAAAGGCATTTTTGTTTTGAAGACGTCAAATAATTGTCATTTCCATCTTCTGTATCTTCACATTTATTTGTGAATCTTTCTGACACAGGTGGTGGATCATTTCAGAAATGGACACAGAAACATCATGTACAAACCCCTCAAGTCCATAATCCTCATCAGAGATTCATTTGAAGAAACCTGGAGCCAGTATGTACAGTATAGCATGCTATGACTTTGCCATGTACGATGCGGTCCTAGATTAACATCTATGTTCATCCTGGAACATCATTTTTGTTGGAAAATGTAATCCAAATCTTTTCCCCACCCCTAAACCCAACCACAACTATAAACAATTGCCAAAATCAGAGGGGAATAACAGTTGGATAACAATCATGTAGAAGTGCACAAACCTAACCGAAAGCCTAAACTCAACATGTAAACGTATCTCTTAATTCTGATTGGCTGATTGGAGTGTTGTTCCAGGATCAACATAGATGTTAATGCAGGAACATGTCCTACTTGGTGAAAACAGGTGGGCGTACAGTATATACTATTATACGTGTATTAAAAATAATAGAAGTTCACCTTCACAACAGAACTGAAATATAGTAAAGCTATAGAAAATAAAACCTGAATACATATATGTTGTCTTATACAAATAGGTCAACCCAAGCTCATTCTGGAAATGTAGCCCCGCGAACGTTTCTGGAGACTGTGATTCACGTGGCGGGAGGTACGTATGGCCGCGTTTTGTTTTTTTTCGAGCAAACGCTGCTGGGCGGTGTGGCGCCACTCCGCTCCTCCTCTTCGCGCTCGCCGGCTGACGGCTCGCCTCCGTGTGGAGGGCTTTCCCGCTGCAACCAGTTTGTCCGCTTAGCTCGCAGCGTTACGTTGGCGGAGTGGAGGCCCGGAGGAGAAGGAGCCGACCGCGGGGACGACCGGGATCGGGTCCGGGGAAGAGCGGTTCCAGAAATCAGGTAAGATGAAAAACACAATCCAAAAAATAAGGGTGAGTACGCGGCGGGATCCAAAAACGCGGTCGAAATCAAAGACGAGGGCTTTTGCTTTTTGTTTTTTTCAGGACGCCCATTGCAAACCGTCGCTTAGGTTTAGGGAAGGAGGAGGAGGAGGAAGAGGAGGGCGGCCGGCCGGGTCGGCCGATCGGCCGGCTGCCCGGTCGATCGTTCGGTCGTTCAGCCAGTTGGTCTGACGGACAGTCGCTCCACAGCGGCCTCCGTCGGCTTTTCAGGCAAGAACAGCGCAGGCGCGAACGGCGCGCGCTCCCGAGAGGCGCTCGAGACGTGAAACAGCGCGCACAGCAGCCTCTCGCGGATCCGCGAAAACAAAAACTGCTCGAATACGTACCTTGCGGGACATATTTCGCGGTCCGCAGATACGTCCACGGGGCTACGTTTCCACAATGAGCCCGGGTTGAAATAGGTCCTGAGCATATAAAATATCAGGCAGTTGTGGCCTTATGATTTAAGATTTTCTATAGCTTTTTGTTTTTGCAGTTATCATGGAAAGTCTTTTAAAACATCACTCGTTGGCTAAAATGGTTTAAAAATGTTTATTTTACAAAAAAAAAAGAACCCTTACATACAATAACCTAGATGTACTGAAGTAACTAGAGTTTATTTTTAATACAGCATTATTAAAATCACAGAAAACGTACCTTATCTTGCATACGTGGTTCAGAAATCCGACTTTACCTGGGAAATGGCTCATGTTCACACACACATCCACACAATTATTTCACATTAACTCTCTAAAATGTATGAGAAAAATACTTTAGGGAACCTAAAAGCTTTTCAGCACATTTATAAAAAGATTTTAGCTCCCTCGGCTTCTCGATTTAGACTTAAACGACCACAGTTGTGTGCTGAGGTCAAAAGTCGCATGACCACATGGTGCAGTTTGATCTATAATTTGGGCATCCTGGCAGCATTCAGACGCATGCCGACGCAAGAAGAGCCTGAAGCGTAGCGCATCTCCCTCAGCATCCCGCTCCACGTCTTTTTGTCTTCCTCGTACCTGTGAAAGGAAGTCAGTACACATGTCAGGTAGGTGGAATAGCATTACGCTTTTGTTTATTAATTTCTTGATGTTCTATTCAGTATTTAATCCAAGTCTCTAATAAAACTTGTATACTTAAAGGCACAGTGTGTAATTTTCACCACTAGAGGGCGTGCATTCACAACAAACAAAGGTATATTTTGAGGACTGAGTGTGTATTCATGGGAGTTGTGGTTTTCATGATTCAAGACTCGTGCAAAAATCATGTTGACGGATGAGCAGCAGAATTCATCACTTATTACTATGATAATAAGCAGAGTAAATCTGAAAGCTGTTGAAGTGAAACGGAAGTAATTGCTGATAAGAGACGAATGCAACATGGCACGAAAGCTGTAGAGCTTTTATTACGCCACAGTCCATTATTGAAGATCGTCAATCTTCACCACATGGAGAAGAAACAGTGCGGTTTTATCAGACTAAATACATTTTAGGCTTCTGTTTTTGTTCTGTGCAGTAAAACACACAACATATTAAAGCTTCGCTGCTGTTTGCCTGATTTCTATAAAACCAGGAATCGAGCATCTGTGACGTTATTAGCATGAACACACAGCACACAGTCCGTCTTACTAGTTAAAATGACTTATTTGGCCGTGATTTATAAATACATCCAAACATTAAGGATAATAATACGACACAAGTCAGTTAAATATAACGCTGTTCCTGTGGTTTTTGTATATTTTAATAAAAAAAAAAAAAGTACTGTACATTCTTGTTGGACCCTCAACAACGATGCCTCTAAATATGTTTAAACATTCATTCATTATCTTGTCGGCTTAGTCTCTTTATTAATCCGGGGTCGCCAAAGCGGAATGAACCACCAACTTATCCAGCAAGTTTTAATGCAGCGGATGCCCTTCCAGCCGCAACCCATCTCTGGGAAACATCCACACAAACACTCATACTCTACAGACAATTTAGCCTACCCAATTCACCTGTACCGCATGTCTTTGGACTGTGGGGGAAACCGGAGCACCCGGAGGAAACCCACGCGAAGGCAGGGAGAACATGCAAACTCCACACAGAAACGCCAACTGAGCCGAGGCTCAAACTAGCGACCCAGCGACCTTCTTGCTGTGAGGCGACAGCACTACCTACTGCGCCACTGCTTCGCCAAATGTTTAAACATATTTAAGTAAATAATCTGAAATCTCTATAATGACGTCATGACTGCAACTCTTCTGAATCACTTTAAGTACACAATTCAGCAACTTATTTACCACATTCTAGTGGTTTTTGGGTATTAATTAAAAATATCTTGCATTTGTGCCTTTAATTAGTTTATTTACTGATTGCCTGATTGAATGGCGTTTGAAAAATCATTTTCCATTCAGAATCAGCTCAGAATTTAGGACTTACTGCCAAATGTCAGTGATCTCAGAGGGTCCGATGTTTTTGTCCTCCAGCTCGACAATAGCAAAGCCTCCAATTGAAAATAAGTTTCCTCCTGAGCTGACGAGATTCACAGAGCTGCGCTCCTGAGGAAACTCTGTGAATGTGTCCCACCTGAAAGAACAGCATTTAAATGAATATACTGCATGATATATTTCAATTTCATTCACAATGGAAGACGACAGTATTTATATTAAGGATGCAGTGCATATAACAAGTAAATCTGTAATAGTTTGATCAGGTACACTACTTAGAGTGGAAAAAACTGAATAAAACTAAAAACTATAAAACAAATTAGAGGAAAACTGAAAATAGTTGCATTGAATTTAATATAAGTTTACATTTTCAAACTCATTAAAACTAAAACGATAAAAGAAATAAATAAAAATATCTATCATTCATTCATTCATTCATTTTCTTGTCGGCTTAGTCCCTTTATTATTCCGGGGTCGCCACAGTGGAATGAACCGCCAACTTATCCAGCAAGTTTTTACGCAGCGGATGCCCTTCCAGCCGCAACCCATCTCTGGGAAACATCCACACACACATTCACACACATACACTATGGACAATTTAGCCTACCCAATTCACCTGTACCGCATGTCTTTGGACTGTGGGGGAAACCGGAGCACCCGGAGGAAACCCACACGAAGGCAGGGAGAACATGCAAACTCCACACAGAAATGCCAACTGAGCCGAGGTTCGAACCAGCGACCCAGCGACCTTCTTGCTGTGAGGCGACAGCACTACCTACTGCGCCACTGCCTCGCCCAAAATATCTATCTATAAATATAAAATAAATAGTAAAATGGTAATAAAAATGATGAAAGCACATAACATATGTAAAATATTAAAATTATTAAGAAAACTGAAGAGCTCTGATGTAAAAATCTAAGTTTCATCTGAAATTTTCATCTGTAATAAGCACGCATCCTATGTTTTTGTTAAATTTTCACTTTAAAGGCAATGAAAAGCACCTATTCATCACCATAAAAGTGAAATTACTGAACTTACACACAGGAGCCTGAGAAAAATGCTCATTTTAGAAGACAGTTTTAGTCGGGCACTCACGTTTTTGCATTTAAACTCTTCAAATATTATGTGCAATACTAAAATAATAATGGTGAAGGCTCATACTTGTTTGTATCAAAATCATAGGTTTCCGATAAAGCTGTGAGTCCGTCTTCATTCACTCCCCCTGTGACGATGATTTTCCCCTTATGAACGACGGCACCAAACATCGCTCTGGGCGTCTTCATTGAAGCCAGCTCTCGCCATTCTGACTGCTTGTGGTTGTACACAAACATTTTACTCAGAGCTTTGCTGTGAAAGAGAATGAGAGGAATGGAAACTGTTATAAAAAGTGATTCATAGTGCAGTGATTCAAATCAAAACTGACTCTATTTACACTGATAATGCACATTCTTCATGTGAATGATCAATTGGTGCTCATTTTATTTAGGGAAAATGCTCTTTTGTAATGCACTGTCCATCCAAAAAAAAGGCATCAACGGAGATTGCTAAAACTACTAGAATTTGGCATTGCATAACAGAAAGGATAATAAGGAACCATCATCTCTGAGGAATAAAAGTGGTCATAAAAAAATGTTGAATGATTAAAATCCGCGATCACTTCAATGAAATCAAATCAAATAGTAAAAAACAACAACAGTAGATCCCACACAGGTTTTAATAGTGAAAGTAAAAGGATTTCCACATGCATAATGCACTAGCTGGATACCAAACAGCTGTGTAGCATTAAGAAAACCGCGTGTAATAAGGCTAATCAGAAAAAAAGTCTTCAACTGCATTGGTGTCTTTAGCAACAATATGTGTCTAAAGGATGAGGTCAGCCAAATACATGAATATCGGCTACTGAATGACCAGTTTATCAATGGATTTTTTTCAGAGCATATGCCAAGGCAGCAATGATGGGATCCATTAAGCTCAAATTGAAAAAGAGGGATTCAAGAAGTATAAGTCATTATTTTTTTACACATGGATTGGCGACCACAGAGTCCAGATCTTAACCCTATTGAGAATGTTTCAAATGTGCTGGAGAAGACTTAGTAGTTTGACTTGCACTAGTTTGAATGCAAAATCTTGGCAAAATGAATGCAACTCTAGACAAGAATAAATGTTGCAGCATTGCAGAAGCAAATTGAAACAACGCCTGGGCGAATATGTGACTAATCAAAGCTAAACAAAATATTAGGGTGTTAGAGTATAATATTAGTGTGGGACTTTTCTTTTTGGACAGTTTATTTCTTCAAATGCAGTAACGGATCGGATTTTAATAAGGGATTATAAGGTATTTACTTAATGTTACATTTAAAAAATGTTGACATTACTTAATTTAATAATTATTAATTTATATAAAACTCCACTCCAACACAATGGTTCCTCAGGATCTGCAGAGCAGTAGCTGCTACACAAGCAAGAACAGTATACATTTGACTTTTTGCTCACTTGAATTCTTCTAGAGTATGTTTAATATCTATATATCTATAATATATGTATAATATCTAAGATTTTTGAAAGCGTTATTCAGGCTGTTGATTCTTTACAGAGAAGATCCCTGTAAGTCTCACATTGTAAGAGGAACTTTGATGGATAACAGACAACTGCAAACTGCACCATATGTTGTCACACACACACACACACACACACGCATGCACACACGCACGCACACACACACACACACACACACACAGACTCTCTCTCTCTTACTTGTCATCTGTCTTTCCTCCAATGCAGTACACCAGGTTGTTATGCGAGACAACTGAATGGCCGTGGATGTGCAGAGGAAGTTTCTTGGTCTCGCTCCATTTCATCCTCCTGCAATGACAATGAAACATTACTCCCGTATCCCACATTCATGGGTAAACAGCACAATCAAAGATGAACTCATACTCGGTGTCGAAACACATGACAGAGTCGAGGGATTCGTTGGTCTGCAGGTCTTTGCCAGCGATGGCGAACAGCAGGTTTTCACTTTCACCCAGATTGAACAGGCATCGTGGGCTGGGCATTGGCGGCAGCGCCCTCCAGTCCGAAGAAAAACTATCCAGCTGTATCAGACGGAAGACATTAACAATGATAAATCCATAAAAACTCTTCAACATAGGAGTAATTCAATAAACAACAGCTTTTAAAGCATTTACTAATTAACTGGCATGAAGATGACAGGAACATTACAATCACAATTTTTGTTTTGTACTACATTTGACCTGAACTCCAAGCTAATTATTTTCATATGAATTTACACACCTTGAAATAATGCAAAGCAAGTTTGCTTTCGCTTATAAATATAGGCTAATACCATGAACAAACTTTACACATCTTTGTTGCAATCTATATGTATTTCTAAGTATATCTAACTATTAAAGTATGCTCAACTGTATCAGTACCATATAAATTGTAAATGATACATACTCTACAGCAAATCTCAGCTTTAACAATGTTTAAATTTAGGGAAAATGTCAACTATATCAGTATATAACATGTAAATCTATCTAAATTTTGCAAAATTTAAATATCAACCCAAAAATGTATATTAACTCACTATATTCTTACTTTCAAGCGGTTTCAAACTGAGTTTCTTCTTTCTTGTCAAACACAAAATAAGATATTCTGTAGAAACCTGTAACCATTGGCATCCATAGTAAGAAAAAGAAATGCTATGGACGTCAGTGGTTACAGGTTGCAGCATTTTTAAAAGTAAATTCTGTCTTAAAATGACTGACTTGACTTTCTGTAAAGCTGCTTTGAAGCAATATATTAAACGAAAAGTTCTTTATATATTAATTTTACTTTTTAATTTAACTTAAAGACTCATGAAATTACAAAAAAATATCATTTAAAACCTTTCCATTCTTGTTAAAAGATCTATGGTACTCCAGGAGCAAATTTGCACACCCCCGGATTATTATTTTTTTTTATTTTTTTATTTTTTATTTTTTATTATGCTTTAAACAACATATACATGACAATACAGCAAACAAAACAATGCCAGGGTGATAGAAAGTAAATGATAACATCAATACATAAAATAAAATAAAACAAACATAAAAATAAGAGTATAAATACTTAACTGAAAATTCTTACAAATATAAACAAGCAGGACCTTTACATTAATCAAATATTTTGAAACTAGAGCACAGTTGGACAGTTTTAATGCACCCCCGGATTAACTAGTTGACTGCTGTGACATTTTTGGTCATGAATGAATTCCCATAATGCACTTATGTTTTTGATGAGTTTACAAGTTTAGCACTGAATAAATTTCCTAATCTGACCACTAGATGGTATCCACAGAGGAATCCTATTGACCTTATTCTAAAATGCGGAAGTGCGCCTGTTTTCGCGATTGTTTTAGAACTTCCGATTCAGTCGCCTATGGGAGAAATGACTAGGAATAATAAACGGCAGAAAACGGTCAAACTACTTGCTCTACAAACAAGTGTTTGCACTACTATACAGACCAAGTAGAATAATATAATAAGAAAATATCAGTTTGCAACATTAAACAGTGAAACGAGCAGTTTTAAAGTCTAAAAATGAATGGAAGTGAATGAGACCGGAAGGTTTTTTTTCTTCACTTTCCTATTGGTGAAGTTTTATTTCCCTCTCCACTGTCGCCACTGGCTTGCATGGTTCAGGATCGGTAGAGCTACGCAAAGATGAACTTGCTCTTCAGTGTTTGGACTCTCAGTAATGATTTTAAACCACACTGAACTGAGCTAAACTGAACTTAAACACTAAAAACTGAACTGCCCGGATCCAGTTACTATGACCATTTATGTGAAGCTGCTTTGACACAATCGACATCGTAAAAGCGATATACAAATAAAGCTGAATTGAAAAAGTCTTGAGCCAAAAAGATTCAAATGGCTGCGCCCGCTCGTACGCAAAGAATAAGGTGATAAATGATTGAATTCTTAATTAATGTTAGTATATATGACAGAACTCAAAATACATTGTGTCATTACTAAAAGACAGCTCACTAAGTGCTAAATAACTATCCCAGAATTGAAAATCTAATCCATCCGAGGGATTTACCAACTAGCAAAGCACAAAAAAGCAGCATCCCTTTCATTCACTCATCTGTTTGCATTCACTCTTTTAAGTGGACTATATTAGTAGACTAATGTAGGGAATAGTGAATGAGGGTATAGGGGGTGATTTCAGATATACACCCCTAATGTTGTTACAATCGCACCAGCACCCAGTTTTTGAACGGAAACCATAGTTCACCAAAAACATAAAGGTTCTGTCATTATTTTTGCACTTGTTCCAAACCAGTTTGAGTTCTGTTGAATGCAAAGGAAAACTATTAGGAAAACTGCCTTTGACTTCCATAGTATGTTTTATGAATGTCGACGGCTGCTTTATTTCAGTATTCTTTAGAACAGGGGTTCTCAACTGGTTTTGCCATGGGACCCACATTTTTACATGGTCATCAAGTCGTGACCCAAATTTTTAGGAACTATAATATCATTTTAGAAATTATAATTAGTTTGTATTCATTTGTTAACATGCACAAGTAGTGACAGATACATCATAAGTAAATTACCAATACTTACAAATAAACAATATTTTATTGCTGTCATTTAACAAAATGTATTAAATTATAGAAATATTACAAAGAAAAACAACAAATACTGTAAACGGTCATTAGAGTAAGAAAAGTTTACCAGTTTACCATGAACTAAACTAAACTGTTAATTAAACATATTATTGTCTGGTTTCTAAATGTCGTTTTAGTTAAAAAAGTTTTCTTGAGAGAGCACCTCACCACATATGGCACACTGAATCTTTTTTGTTGTCAGTATGTATATCCATACATTACATCGTGCTTGCGCTTCAACATATTTATTGCTATAATTAAATTAAATTTCACATGTCAAACGGTACGGTTGTCGCGTGCGCATTTAAAAAGAAAAGTCTGGTATAAGCAAAATAAGTAAAAAATTAAGCTTTTGTTGTTTTTTTGACTACACACTCCACTAAAAAGCTTCTGGCGACACACTTTTAGGTCGCAACCCACCAGTTGAGAAACACTGCTTTAGAATATCTTGAAGGACGCAAGAAGTATAGAACCACTTGAGTGTGAGAAAAGGGTGAGGAAATGTTCATTTTTGGGTGAACCATCCCTTTAAAGTTGATTGTTACCTGGTAGGGTGGCAAGGTGGCTCAGTGGTTAGCACTGTTGCCTCACAGCAAGAAAGTCGCTGGTTCGAGTCCTGGCTGGATCAGTTGGGCTTTCTATGTGGAGTTTGCATGTTCTCCCTTGGTTAGCGTGGGTTTCCTCAAGGTGCTCAGGTTTTCTCCACAGTCCAAACACATGTGCTATAGGTGAATTGAAAAAACTAAATTGGCCATAGTGTATGAGTGTGTATGGGTGTTTCCCAGTAGTGGGATGCAGCTGGAAGGGCATCTGCTGTGTAAAGCATATGCTGGATAAGGCGGTTCATTCCACTGTGGCTACAACTGATGAATGAAGGGACTAAGCCGAAGGGAAAATGGATGAATGATTGTTACCTGGTAGAAGTAGCACTGCAGCGGCGACTCTTTGCTTTCTTCATCCACAAACAGACCACCGACGATGAAGAGCTGGTTCTTCTTGGTGCAGAGACTCACGTGGTTCTTCGGCACCTGCTCCGCCATGGCGGCCAGAAAGCACTCATTCTCGACCACATCGTACGCCACGGCAGCCGTATCATTGATCATGACGATCAGGTCCCGTCCGTACATCCCTAATCTACGATTATCGTTCAGGAAACCCGGCAGCATCTCCTCCCCCTCCTCCTCTCCGTTCACCTCTCCTTCCTTCTTCTCTTTGGGCTTCTTCTCAGGGAGCTTCCCTTTGAAGGCATCTTTGACGAGTTGTAGCTTCTTCAACAGCTCTGGATCGCCCTTGATGATGTCATCAGTCTCGACTTTCTCCCTGAAATACTTCTCTGGGAGAAGTCGGAAGCGGATGCAGTCGAATGCTTCTGCAAGACTCTTGACACGGTTGGCCTTGTCGTTGCGCACCCATTTCATGACCGACTCAAACACGACTTCTTCTTTCTCTACGTTAAGCATGTCTCCGCCGATCAGGGCTAAAAGCTCGTGAGGAGCCAGCTGAAGGAACTCCTCCTCTGATGAAACCGTCTCAAAGCGGTCAGCGATGAAATCACGAGCCGCTATGGCGAGTCTGGGAACACTAAGAACCAGGCCGAGTCTAAAAACAGCAAGGCAATTGGCCATGGAGAGCTTCTGCTGTAGATAATTCACACACACTGTAAACACAGAAGGAATCTGAAATCGGTTCGCCACCGCGAAGATCTCCTGCACGTTATCATCCACCAAATCGATCTCCGCGGAATACAAATACTGTAGGATCATGTCCATAATATTAGGATCGACATCATCCAGGACCACTTCCTTCCCGATATCCTTCTCCTTGCCATCCTCGGAGAAGAAAAGCTCCCTAAAGTAGGGACTGCAGGCAGCCATGATTAAGCGGTGGCAGGGAAAGCAGCGGTCTCCAATTTTCAAAGTGCAATCCACAAACTTGTTCTCATTCAGAAGCTCCTTCAGTCCGTCCTGCAGCAGCGTGCTCTGAAAAAGCCGCAGCTCCTCCTTGATGGCTTTGGGATCCATGATGTTTCGTCTCAAAGTGAGAATCGACTAAAAGAGGAGAAAGAAGTGGAGAAGGTGGCTGCAGGTCTGCTCGCCACACCGTCCGGGCTGGAAAAGGACAGAGAGCTGAAAAGATTCCCAGGATGAAGGGGCTGTTATTTAATACTCCCCTTCTAAATATAACCCTTCACTCTTGTCCACCCCCACACCGCCTCTGTCATCCCACAGTACGGGTTGTGAAAAAGGGGATCCCAGTCGAGACACCCAGCTGTCATGGAGGACATTTTATCCAGCCTGCCAGATTGTGCTATAACACTGCTTTTGAATGGCTCTGAAGTTAGGGTTAGGGATTGGGTGTAGGTTAGGGAATAAACCACTCCACTCCACATCAAAGTTTAAGAAGGCTAGTATATTTCGTTATCAATATTAGCACTGGAAAAAAAATGCTTTTCTTGTCTTATTTGTTATTCAGATATCTAAATCTCTTAAATCAAGAAGCATTTTCTAGACAAGTAAAAAATATTGTCTTGTTTTCAGAAATAAGATTTCAAACTTTTCTTAAAACACGCAAAATAGTCGTAATAAGCAAAACAATGTTGTTTTCGCTTTGAAATAAGATTACTTTGCTTACCCCTCTGGTATTAATTTTGTGTGTTTTAAGGAAAAACTCACTTAATTTCATATTTCTGAAAACAAGACATTTTTACATGTCTAGGAAATACTTCTTGATTTAAGAAAGCAAGAAAATCAGTTTTGCTGGGTACTTTTGAATCAATGGAAGAAAATTCTGACAGGACAAATGGACACCAGCCCAGCCTGTAAGTCTACAAGTTTTAGAAAGTCCCCCCTCTATTTTCATCTTAAAGGATTTTTCTGATATCCAATTTAATAGAACTCAAAAGCGAGTGTTTTTAGCTGGCTTGACAGCAGCCAAGAAAATAGTTGCGACAAGATGGAAGCCTCCACATTCTCTTAATCGTCATCATTGGATTCATACTTTTATTGACATTGTGAATATAGAAATGTCCACTGCTCGCATCCATGGTACAAGAGAGGACACCATCAGGCTTTGTGCACAAACCTTGGACAAACTTAAAGGTTTACTAATTTAAATCAACGAGACATCAAAAAGCAGAAACTTCTGGTTCCGCGCCCCATTCTTCATTTTATATATATATTTTTTATTTATTATTTTTAATTATTACTGTTATTTTTATTATATAATTCTTTAAAATGTATTTATCTCCCCTTTTTATTAATTTGATCTTTTTTTTTCTTTTTTATAGTAATTTAAGGTTCTCTGTTTGGGCTTCCCATAACTTTCATTGTCGTAGACCTCTTTCAGCACAGTTTTGAATACCTATTTCTATTTGTCTATTACCATTCTTCTATTTATTTACTTTTAACTGGCTTAACTTACCCTTGTTTAACCCTTAATACAGATTTGGCTTATTGCCTTTTTGGTTTGGAAATTTGTTTTATGTATGTGTATTTATGTGTGTATGTAGGCCTATATATGTATATATAAATTAATTTATTTTATTTTATTTGTTTTAGTATGTCCTTGTCATTACTCTTCAGTTTTTCCTTTTTCTTGACACTATTGTTGTTATTGCTGGCACTATTATTAATACTATTATTCAACAACCTGCATATTGGTTATTACATGTATATTTTCGCACTTTGCTATATGCTGATGTTTTTCTGTGTTCGAAAAATACAAAATAAAATAAAAATTGGAGGGAAAAAAAGTTTAAGAAAGTCAAATCTATTCATCTATCTATCTCAAAATGCTTCCATGCTATGTCTACAGATTGCTGTTTAAGTGTCTTTATGACAGAGTTTGTAGACAGCTGCAGCTACAACAGGTGATGAGCCTTTTTCAGCTGCCTCGACAACTCTGTGTCTTGAGTCAGTCAAACTTTATTATTCATGCGTCAGGTCCTGAGAGGAGACCAAACTCTAGTGGAGCTGGTTACATTTGTGTTTTGAGGTGGGTACAAGAGCTTTTCACCATCCAAGGGACATCTTTTATTCTCTGTTTGCCCCTAAAACTCACTGTAGAAAATGTTGGGTTTCTCACAATCAAATTGTGCTGGGACAACATGAAGGAATTAAGGTAACTTATTAGTTTTTATAAATTTAAGTGGATTGAACATAAAACAATTAAGTTGTCCCAATGAAATCTGAAGAATTGTGTTGTTTCAGCTCATTTTAAATAAGCAGTATAAACAAGCAACAACATTTTTTTTGAGTGCTCCTATAAATCAGTGTATAAGTATACATATAAGTTATTAAAATGTAAATTATTTTACATATATCTCCCAATTGACGTTCAACAAGTCATGGAATGTCCTTTTTTTAAGTTTGGCTGGATTCAAAGTTATAAAAAAAATAATAATAATAATAATTATATATATATGTATATATATATATGTATATATATATAAAATTAAGGGCCAATAGTATTCACCCCCTCAGGGAATTTTTTTTTTCAGTTGGCTACAGAACAAACCGACATCCAATGACTTGCCTAAGTAGCCTAACTTAGTTAACCCAATTAACCCTGTTAAGCCTTTAAATTACACTTTAAAATAAATACATATTTATTAGTATCTTAAAAAAAACTTGTAAAATATTATGTACAGTCATCATGGCAAAGACAAAATAAACTAGTTATTAAAACTATCGTTTAGAAATGCGTTAAACAGCACTTGTTTAAATAAATACCGTAATAATATTGTTTTTAACTGTACATTGCATTTTTCTCCAAATCAACTTACATTGCAGGTACACCTAGTATTTATGTTACTACCCTAACATCAGTGAACCCAAGCTCTATATATATCTATAGAGATTGTGTATAATTACCAGAGGTATGTATGGCTGCATTTTGTCTTTATAACAACGCTATGGGGCGGTATGACACCGTTCCTTTTCACGCTTATCAGCTCACCGCTCATCTCTATGTGGACAGCTTTTCCACTGTTACCAGTTTGCCCAGTGGCTTAACGCATATGTCGACAGACTTGTGTTGTGGAGCAGAGTTGACCGGGTTTTAACGACTAGGTTCAAGTCCGTTGAAGAACGGTTCCAGAAAGCATGTAAGACAAAAACAAAAGCTAAAAAATAAAATAAACAAGTAAATAACAGGGTGAGAATGTGGTAAAATCTAAAATGTAGTGAAAATCAGGCAGGGCTTTTCTTTTTCTGGATTACTTTTTAAAACTGTCGGTTGGGTTTAGGGGAGTGGGTGGACGAGTCAATCGGTGCTTTTAAAAACACTATTGGTTGGATTTAGGGAAGAAGGAAGGTGGTCAGTCAGTCAATCAGTCATTAGCGGCCTCTGGTGGATTTATGCGAGAATAGCAGGCATGAATGGCACCCGTGAGAGAAATTTGAGATCTCAAAAAGCATGCACAGGGGTCTTTTTGTGGATTCGCGAAAAAAAAAAAAAAAAAAAAACATAGCTCCTGGGACTTATTTGGCGCTCTCCAGAAATGTATACAGGGGTACGTTTTCAGAATGAACCTGGGTTGCCCAAAATACTGATATGTACCATTAAGTTCAAGGAAGAAAGTTGTTTTTTTAAGGGTACTGCACAGTAACAGGTGGTTGCACCATTAAAGGTATATTTTTTTAGACCATTATTAAGTGCTGTGAAACAAAACTCAAAGATGAATACTTAAAGGCTAAAGAGTAATCAGGGTCAACATTTAGGCATCTCAAAGTGATTATTTAGGGTCAACATGAGATCAGAAGGGTGTATTGTGCAATCACAAACACGTGCATGTTTTCCAACACAAGCTAATGGTTCTAGAATGATCTCATGGGAGAGCAGCAGTCACTATTACTAAAATTAAAACAGGGAGAAAGGTGTTGGGGGAAGGAGACGTGTGTAATTTAAGTCAAACACAAGGGACAGATGTGTGTGACTGTTTAGGAGGAATTTTGAGGCTGGAATAATGTAAGAAAAAGAGAGAAATGATTAATATACCAACTTAATGTTACATGTTTAAGACAGACAACACTTCAGCTGAGGCTAAAAGCACATTTTTAGTATTTCTTACTGGGATGCTGGTTTTATCAGAGGTTGGGGGTCTGATTATTTTGGCATCCATGTTACCAAAATCCAGCATATACACTTGTGTCAAATGATAATGAAATTTGAACAGCTGTCAATGGAGCATGATGTTTTCTTGCTGCTCAGTTGTGTAGTTTTGGCACTAGCAGTAAAAGAAAAATTAACCAACTAGACACTTTGCTCCAAAGTAATTCACATTAACAAAATGACACATCCTGCAACTGTAATTAAGATTAAAGGGATAATTCACCCAAAAATAAACATTTCCTTACTGCAGGGGTTCCCAAACTTTTTAGCTTGCGACCCCCAAAATAACAATGCTAGTGACTCGCGACCCCCAATATCCTCTGAGGTGATTATATATACATAAACCTTGCATGCAATAGCGCACACACACCAATAGACCAGAGCTGTATCTGAAATCAGAGCTGTAAATGTGCCAGAAAGTTTAACCCGATGTTATAAAATCAATCTGCTGCATCTGAAGACATTGGTGTGTCTTTAAAATTATGTAATTACCCCAGGGGTCGCAATCCAATAGAACTAGTTACTATAAGCTACTGTACTAACTATATAGCATATATTAACTATAAACAACATTTTTTCTCTTCAGTAGTTTATTGATAAAATATGGTAATTCTTATGGTTTAATATAAATAAATAGATTTTTGGAAATCACCAGGCGACCCCCCTTCATTGTCTCGCGACCCCTTGGGGGGTCCCGACCCCCACTTTGAGAACCACTGCCTTACTGTATACTCACCCTCAAGTGATTATAAACGTTTATGAATATCTTTCTTCTGTTGAACACAAAAGAAGTTATTTTGAAGAACGCTGAAAACCTACAACTGTTAATATCTACAGTGGGAAAAACAAATAGTCAATGGTTCAAGGTTTCGAGCATTATTCAAAATATCTTCTTTTGTGTTTAACCGAAGAAAGAAACTCAGAATGGTTTGGAAAGTAAAGGGTGAGTAAATGACGACAGGATTTTCATTTTTAGGTGAACTATCTCTTTAAGGAGATTCAAATATTGCAGATATCTACCACAATATTGTCCATTAGTTTTGTCCAGGAGATGGCAGTCTGCAACCGCAATACCACATTAGAAGCATCTGCCTCTTGTTATCACTGAACATCTTTTATAACCAAAAGTCCTGTGTCAAAGTAGCAGAAATCCTCTGAGCCAAACATGAAATACGGATTAGTGAACATTAAACTAGCACAACATTTGGATTTGCTGACAGCGTAACAGCCTGGCTAGTTAGTTAACCACATACAAAATATTTTATTTTAAAAAAAGTACATACAATATACAAAATGACAAACGTTTTAACAATGCTAACGACAACCCTGGTTCTTAAAATCACACGTTACATGTCGTTTATTTCATACTTGCCAGATCATTTTTGTTTCGTGACAGGATGCAATAATGTTCATTCACAGTTCTGCAGGCTGTGATGTAAAAGTATTGTGCTTTGTTGATGAGCCATTTTACTTTATATTACGTGGCCTTAATTACTAGATACTTACATAAATAAGTATACAATGTTTTTATTGTGATCATAGTGTATTAAACAACACATCTTGCACTACAATTTTTGTGTTTTTAGTTTGGAGGTATGGGTAGGTTTAATGTTTGTGTTTATTTAACAAGGAAATCACAATTACACTGGACAAACCAAATGCATTTGTTTAAGTGTTTTAGCAGACTTACTAATTCTCAACACTTGTCCAAGGATGTGTTAAGGGTGGGTTAAGTTAACTAAATATAGAGCAGGGTAAATAAGTATTGAACACGTCACCATTTGTCTCAGAAAACATATTTCTAAAGGTGCTGTTGACTTGAAATTTTCACCAGATGTTGGTAACAACCAAAATATTCCATATATGCAAAGAAATCTATTTAATTTACAATTGAAGTTCTGATGACACAGAAAAAAAGTATTAAACACATGAAGAAAGGAAGGTGTAGAAAGGCAGTGAAAGCCCAGACAGCAGCTGAAATCTCTCAGTAGTTCTTCAGCAACCCTCTGCCCTTCATCAGTGTAAATGAATTTCAGCTGCTTCAGTCCAACATCTACATTAGCAGGAGGATGCAGATGAAACCAGGGTGGACATTTCAGCAAGACAATGATCCAAAACACAGCCAAGGAAACTCTCAGATGCTTTCAGAGAAAGAAAATCAAGCTGTAGAATAGCCCAGCCAATCACCTTGAATCGACTTGAATTCAATAGAAAATCCAAAATAAAGCTCAGATTTGACAGACGAGACCCACAGAACCATCAAGATTTTGACACTGTAGAAGTTTGAGAAAAACTCACACCTGAGCAGTGCATGAGGCTTCATATGAGAGTCGTCTTTAAGCTGCCATTACCAAAAAAGCCTTTTAAATAAAGTGTTTTTACACAATTGTTATTACACAAAAGTATTGTACTAATATTCTTATTTTACTAATATTATTACAAATAAGTATTGTACTACATGATTAATTTACATATAAGTACATAGTAGTTAAGGCCACTTAATATAAAGCAGGACCACTAGTTTCTTGCAGACGTCAATTTATTTAACATCTGTTTATTTCAGTGCAGGTCCATTGAAGTTGAGAATGAGGAATTACAGACAAAGGTAAATTTGTCCATAATGGATGTCAGCCCCCTGGATGCAAAGAAACAACCGTGACCAAAAGGAAAAAACTACTGTCCCTTTTCATTTGCAGTAATATTTACCAGCGAAAGGTTTTCAGGTGTGTGTTTTACCTGCTCACACGACCACACACGTCTTCTTGCACTCTTCTTCTGTGTCAAAGCGATTACGGTTTCCTTCACAGCCACCGTACCAGAACTGTGCACAGGCGTTGGCTTGTGGTACATAGTACCATCGGATGTTATATTCTCGACAAGGACCCTGATCCAGGAGCAGCTTACAAAGGGGGTCCAAAAGCACAACCTCTGAACACAGATAAAAAATATAAAATATTAAGCAAGAGTCAACTAAAATGTTATTAATGTAATTATTAGAAGGTCCAGTGAAATTCAAATAAGAAATTTAAGATATTAGTTTCAGTCCAACGCAGGCTCATTCTGAAAATGCACCCCTATATACATTTCTGGAGAGCCCCAAATACATCCCAGGAGGTACGTTTTTTTTTTTGTTTGTTTTTTTTATTGCAGTTTTTGTTTTCGTGAATCCACCAGAGGTCACTGTTGACTGACTGAGCGACGACTGATCCACCCTCCTCCTTCCCTAAACCCAACCAATAGTGTTTTAAAAAGCACGGATTGACCCGCCCAGCCACTTTGCTAAACCCAACCAACAATTGTAAAAAAGCAATCCAAAAAAGAAAAGAAAAGGCCCTTGCCTGATTTTTACCACGTTTTTAGATTTACCACATTCTCACTCATCTCCAGAAATGTATAAAGGGCTGTGCAGAGGCATTGCTAGACATAAAGCTCTACTGGGGCTCAGCACCCCCTAAAAAAACAAACAAACAACAAAAAAAAGATAATAATATCATATAGGGGCGGGGAGTGATTATTGTTATTATACAATCATGTTTTGGGGCTGTTTTGCTGCAGGAGGGACTGGTCCACTTCACAGCATAGATGGCATCATGAAGAAAGAACATTATGTAGAAATACTGAAGCAACATCTCAAGACATCAGCCAGGAAATTAAAACTTGGTCACAAATGGGTCTTCCAAACAGACCATGACCCTAAGCATACTGCCAATTGAGTTAAAATGTGCTTTAAGGACAACAGAGTGAATGTTTTGGAGTGGCCATCACAAAGCCCTGATCTAAATCCTGTAAAAAATTCGTGGGCAGAGTTGAAAAAGCCTGTGCGAGCAAAACAGCCAACAAATCCGACTCAGTTACACCAATTCTGTCAGGAGGAATGGGCCAAAATTCCTTCAAACTATTGTGAGAAGCTTGTGGAAGGATACTCAAAACATTTGACCAAAGTTATACAGTTTAAAAGCAAAGCTAAAAAAAATACCAAGGAAATGTGTGTAAACTTTTGTCTTTCTAGAAATTACTAAAAATTCTTATTCTTATTATTCTGGCATTTAGCAAATAATCCTAACAGACCTAAAATAGTAAACGTTTAGTATGATTTACTATCAGACATTAAAAAAATAGTTTTGTTCCTTTTTTTAGAGTGTATGTAAACTTCTGTTTTTACAGAAGTTTTTACAATGCATGTGAAACAAGTACACAGTAAATGAAACTGTTGCTGAAATGTTTTAAACATAATGGGCTCTATTTTGTCGGTCCATGCGCAGAGCGTAAAACGCAGGGCGCGAACGCTTTCAGGGCGTGGCATTTTTGCTAATTTAAGGACAGGAAAATCCGCTTTGCGCCATGGCGCATGGTCTAAAAGGGTTGAGTTTATTTTCTTAATGAGTTATAGGTGTGTTTTGAGAAAAAAACAATTACAGTCTCATCTCCCATTCCCTTTAAGAGCCAGCTGTGTAGTGCCATAAGCGAATTTTGACGTAAAGTAAGTTCAATTTCGCTTTTGCTCTCGTGGATAGGGAAACCTTTACGCACAGACATCAATTAGCCTATAAATAACTAATTTCGTTTGTTAAGCGCAAAGATTTGTTTCAAAACTATTTCTAAATTCAGTTCTAATTTCTAGCAAACGAATAAATGAACAATAATAACAAAGTGTGGTCAAAATACTGAGTTATTTCAAATACACCTGCCATGCCTTATATGGTCTAAAATTTGACAGGTGGACAAATCTAAGCTTGTTTTTAATAAAACAAATATAAATATGGATATAATAAATAATACTGCTAATAATAATAACATTATACAAAAGCAAATTGAATGAGCTGAAAAAGCCTCCCGAGATGAAGAAAGTAAGGCAGTGGTTTTTAAATCTTCCTGTAGGCAAGAAATTAATATGTTTTGTAATATTTTAATAATTTATATTTATATCCTGTATATCTCCTTAAGATATTATATCTTTTTCATATGTAAAGATATTTGCGTATTGCTCTGCATCTTGTTTGTAGTGTGTAAGCCAGGCGCACTTTGCACCAGATAATAGACCGACTTTGTTCTGGTCTAAAGATCAGACTATTTACAGTTTCTCAAAATAACAACGCGCCAAAACACGCCTGATTTTTTAGACCAGAACGCCTATGGGCGCACATTTGAACGCAAATGCATTTGCTATTTAAACAGCGTGGCGCAACACCTCAAAATGACCCTTGCGCCGAGCTAAAAGTAGCAAAAGAGTATTGCGCCGCGCCTTGCGCCACATTGCGCCGGGTGTATGATAGGGCCCAATACCTTTCTTTACCGTCACTTTAGATTGAATTAATGGATCCCTGTCAAATAAAAGTATGAATTTCTTTCAACAAAATAAATCCTAGACTCAAAATATGTTTTGCGGTAAGTTAGCGAGTGTGTTTCGTTTGTACCTTTAGGTAAAGGTGGTCGTGGTGCTGCTATAAACTGCATTGAAGTTGAATATGTGTTCACAGATGATGATGATGTTGTTGTCCCTGATGAAGGTTTGCTAGGTGTGGATGTCCCAGTGACTGCAGGAGCTCCTCTTATGTCTGGTGTTTTAGGTACACGCTCAACCTCCTGACAAAATGTTAATGAAACAAACCATAATCAATACACAAACCAAAGGCTCATTTCATAATCATGTCTGCACTAACCTGTTTAATGTCTGGACCAGCTGTTGAAGCAAACGTGCCTCCTCTGCCTCTCTCAGTGATCACGGTGTTGGTGGCAGACGGTGTTCCTGTGTTTTCTCTGCTGCCTTTATATGTGCTGGTGTCGAAATTATGCCCGCCGTTACCATTGATGCGGTTTCCGTTCAGACCATATCCGTTTTCAAAATCATTAATGCGGTTGAAGATAAGCGCTCTACTTTCATCTTCGCAGAGCTGATTGACTAGTTTGGACTCCAGAGCTGAGATTAAAAATAGAGGAAGGATATTTATTAGAGAAATACAGTTGAAGGCAAAATTTATATTAATTTTAATTATTATTTTATTAATATCTCCAAAGAGCTGTTTGATAGAAAGATTTTAAAACATTTTTAAACATAATAATGGGCGCGATGGTTTAGTGGTTAGCACTGTTGCCTCACAGCAAGAAGGTTGCTGGTTCGAGTCCCTATTGGATCAGTTAGTATTTCTGTGTGGAGTTTGCATGTTCTCCCCGTGTTGGCCTGGGTTTCCTTTGGGTGCTCCAGTGTCCCCCACAGTCCAAACACATGCGCTATAGGGGAATTGGATAAACTGGCCGTAGTGTATGAGTGTGCGTGTGCGTGCGTGTGTGTGTGTGTGTGTGTGTGTGTGTGTGTGTGTGTGTGTGTGTGTGTGTGTGTGTGTGTGAATGAGTGTGTATGGGTGTTTCCCAATACTGAGTTACAGCTGGAAGGGCATCCGCTGTGTAAAACTTGCTGGAATAGTTGACAGTTCATTTCGCTGTGGTGATCTCTGAAATAAAGACTAAGCTGAAGGAAAATGATTGAATGAACATAATAGTTTTAATAAGTAATTTCTAATGACTAATTTATTTTGTGTTTACCATGAGGAAACCATTTACCATACCATGCTTTGTTGCAAAATACTAGTATTCAGCTTTAAGTGTAATTTAAAGGCTTAACTAGGTTAGTTAGGCAATTCAATAGACAACAAATTCTCAAGAGGAATGATAATATTGACCATAAAGGCATAGTTCAACCAAAAATGAAAATTTTCTCACTATTTACTCTGCCTCAACTGGTTCCAAACCTATATGAGTTTCTTTATTCTGTTGAACACAAAATATTATATTGAACAACACTTATATACACTTATATTGAAGAAAGCTAAAAACCTGTAACCACTGACTTACATATTAGGAAAAACAAATACTATAGAAGTCAATGGTTACAGGTTTCCAGCTTTCTTCAGTGTATTTTATTGTGTGTTCAGCAGGGGAAAGAAAGTCAAACAGGCTTGGAAAAAGTGAAGGAAATTTTTAGTTTTGGGTAAACTATCCCTTAAAAAGACACTTAATATTTTTCTTATTAAACCAAGCAAAGAGACTTTATCTAAAAGAAGAAAATATCATAAGAAATACAATAATGTCATCCCAGGCTTCTTCTGAAAATGTACTGCTATATACATTTCTAGAGAGCACCAAATACGTCCCAGGAGCTACATTTTTTTGCAGATTTTGTTTTCGTGAATCCCACAGAGACCGCTGTGTGCACTTTTTCAGATTTCTTTCATGAGTGCCATTCATGCCTGCTGTTATCACATAAATCCACCAGAGGCCGCTGTCGACTGACTGATCGATCGACTGACCCACCCTCCTCCTTCCCTAAACCCAACCAATAGTGTTTTCAAAAGCACCGATTGACCCGCTCACCCACTTCCCTAAACCCAACCAACAGTTTTAAAAAGTTTAAAAAGTTTAAATCCAGAAAAAGAAAAGCCCTAGCCCTTTCGTTTTAAAGGTGATATGCAGCCATACGTAGCTCTGGCTAAATAATTTGCGATTTCCAAAAATGTATATAGGGCTAAGTTCTCAGAATGAGCCCGTGTTGCAACATGTTCTTGCTCTGTTAAACATTGGGACTTTTTTTAAAACATTGGGATATTTGAAAAATAAAAACAAAAGGGCTAATAATTTAGCCTTCAACTCTGTGTACTTTACTATCATCAGATAATTGTTTTTTTATACTGTAGATGTACAATATTATTCGCCCCCTTGTGAATTTCTTTATCCAAATATTTCCCAAATGATGTTTAACAGAGCAAGGAATTTTTCACAGTATTTCCTAAAATATTTTTTCTTCTGGAGAAAGTCTTTTTTGGTTTATTTCAGCTAGAATAAGAGCAGATCTAAATTTTTTTAAAGCATTTTAAGGTCAATATTATTAGCCCGCTTAAGCAATATTTTTTTTGATCGTCTACAGAACAAACCATCATTATACAATGACTTGCCTAATTAAAATGTGCATCTGTATTCAGTACCTGGCAATGTGTTGAAGTCTTTAATGTAGTACATATGTTCACTGTCAGGATGCGACGCAATAAGACTGAGCTCCTGGAGAAACTCGTTCTGTGTAGGATTACTGATGTTCATAATTCCCAGAGCGTACATCTCGATGTTGGCAGCGTGCGCCTCTCTGACAGCGATCTCCAGCTTCACAGGCTCCCGTTTATCCGTCTGTCCATCTGTGATGACGATGGCCACCTTCTTCACCCCTGTCCTGGCGCTGTAAAAGGCTTCATGAGTGGCATTGTGGATGGCAGAGCCGGTGTAGGTGCCCTCGCCGATGTAGTGAACTCTGCGGATGGCTTCTTTAATGTCTTGTTTGGTTGTATAGCGAGCCAGGTTGAATTCAAGCTGGACTTCCAGGCTGTATAAAACCAGGCCGACACGAGTGGCATTACGCCCTATGGTGAGTCTGTCGACCAGCGCCGCCACAAAGTCCTTGATGATCTCGAAGTTTTCAGGCCCGATGCTCTCAGAGCTGTCAACCACAAACACAAGCTCCATAGGACGCTCTTTACATTTGACTCCACAGCCTGCAACACACAGTACATGAATGTACAACCATTGGTGATTAGGGTAAAATACAATAAAGGCACTTTATTATGAAATACTGTAGTAATTTATAGTAAACACTATAGTGTTTTGAACCATAGTATAGTACAATACTTGATTTAATCTGTTGTGGTGAATCTACAGTTGCTATGGTGAAACAACAACTATGATAATATAAACAAATCACCCAATACTGTAGATTACTTCAACTATGGGGGTATATTATACTACAATACACCACAGTTTACTGTAGTAAAAACTCAATTAAATACTATGTACCAGTGTGTACATATACTGTAGTTACATACTACTTACACATCTAGTTACCATGTAAGTTCACAGGTATAAGCAACAATATGAAGTGGGACCTACATTTTTACCATTTATACAATATTTTTGATCAAATAAATGCAAAAAAACATAATACAAATATATTTGTATTCAACAGCACATACCACAAATCTCTCTGATCATTCTGATTATCTCGTCCCTCTAAAAACAACAACAACAAAAATATTTATATTTAATTCACTGAAATGTGCATAGTAGAGTGTGAATGTGGTAATATGATGTAAAAGTCATACCGTCAGCCCAGATTCTCCTTTGATTCCTGGTCTACCCTGAAAAACAATGATATTATAATGAAAATAGGTAATAAAACATGCTGCAGAGAACACTCTTACAGTGGAAAATAATGCTTAAATGGCTTAGTTTCCCAATTTAGTAAACTATCTTACTGTACTACTACTTAGATAGAATCCTAAATGAAAACAGAAATGATTATGGTCAATTTAATAATTAAAATTTGCTTTAAATAGGCAGCAATTCTGTCGGTGTAATGCATAATGCATAGAAGAAAGTATATTTTGGCTTGATTTTATCTACAGGGAACTGATTGAGGGCGGCACGATGGCTCAGTGGCTAGCACTGTGGCCTCACAGCAAGAAGGTCGCTGGTTCGAGTCTCGGCTGGGCCAGTTGGCATTTCTGTGTGGAGTTTGCATGTTCTCCCCGTGTTGGCGTGGGTTTCCTCTGGATGCTCCTGGTTCCCCCAACAATCCAAACAAATGTGCTATAGGTGAATTGAATAAACTAAATTGGCTTAAGTGTATGAGTGTGTGTGTATGCAAAAGTGAATGGGTTTTTCTCAGTACTGGACAGCGGATGGAAGGGCATCCGCTGCGAAAAACATATGCTGGAATAGCCGGTTCATCTCACTGTTCTCGCACGACATCTAATAAATAAGGGACTAAGCCAAAGGAAAATGAATGCATGAATTCTGCCCTTGCAAAAGTAAACACCAATCAGGGAAGATTAAGAGGTTAAATAGAAATAGAAAAGAGGCTACCGATAAATATTTTGTAATGAACTCTTTAATATGAAGGTTTGTTTACTAACTGCTTGTCCAGAAACACCAGGATCTCCCATATCACCTTTAACCCCTTTCACCCCTCTCTCACCCTGAGCTCCACGATCCCCCTGAAAAACAAACGATGTTAAACTGTATAGATATTCAAATATATAACACAGATTACATAACAAAACCTGAGACCTTTGACCCCGGCATTCCTTCTCCAGGAAATCCTCTTGGCCCGGTCACTCCCTGTGAGCCCTGATCACCCTTAAAAAATACATCAGATATTTGGTTTAAAAAAAAAAGATAGATACATGTGTGGATTGTTACTATATATTTTAAGACAACATTATCAGCCCTTCTGTGAAATCTCTTTCAACTCTTGCTGTGTTAAACAAAATATTTAATAACTCATTTCTTATTGCTAATTTCTATGCCATTATGACAGTACATAATATTTCACTAGTTATTTTGCAAGATACTAGAAAGTGCAATTTAAAGGGTAACTAGGTTAATTAGGCATGTTAGGTTAGGCAAATCATTGGAGAACAGTGGTTTATTTAAGAGGGCAAAAAATATATATTTTTCATTTATTTTATTTTATTTTATTTAAATTTTACTTTACTTTACTTTATTTTATTTTATAAATTTTTATTTTATTTTATTCTTTTAAAATTTTTTTACTTTATTTTATTTATAAATTTTTTTTTACTTTTTTAAATTTTATTAAATTTTATTATTTTTTATTTTATTTTATTTTATTATTTTTTATTTTTTTTTACTTTTTAATTTTTTTATTTCTTAATATTTTTTTTACTTTATTTTATTTTATACATTTTTATTTTTATTTATTTTATTATTATTTTTTCATCATTTTTTTACTTTATTTTATTTTTTAATTTATTTATTTATTATTTTTTATTTATTTAATTTGATTTTATTTCATAATTTATTTATATTTATTTATTATTATTATTTTTTTATTATTATTATTTTTTTTATTTTTTACTTTATTTTATTTATTTATTTAATTTTTTAATTTAATTTAATTTAATTTAATTTAATTTAATTTAATTTAATTTAATTTAATTTAATTTTATTTATTTATTTTTTTTTTAATTTATTTTATTATTATTTTTTTTTATTTTATTTATCCCAGCCCAGCTAAAAGAAACAAGACTTTCCCCAGAACCAAAATATTAAAGAAAGGTGTTGCTGTGAAAATTATTCTTGCTCTGTTAATCAGCACATGGGAGATATCTGAAAAAGAATTTAAATGGCTGATAATTTTGTCTTCAAATGTACATGTATGTCAGTGTCTCACCTTTGAACCCTGTATACCTTGTCCTGGTTGTCCAGTAGGTCCAGAAGGTCCTGGTCTTCCCACAGTGCCCTGTGTGTTCAGAGACAGGTTATTCAGCCCAAATCACAATGGGAAACACACACATTCAGAGTCATTCATGCTGAGATAAAAGTAGCACTCGAACATCTGGAATGACGTTAAGGGTACTGGATTACTTCATTCAGATTCTGTGACAATATGAAACAGACTTGGAACAGATTTATGTGTGTGTGCTGAATATATGATCGTGAGTGCAATAATATGATAAATGTGCTGTTAAGATGATGTAGTAAAAGATGAAGCCTTTGAGTAATGGCATACAGTATATTGGAAGGAAAGTTCATTTAGGGAGACAGAATGCACATACAGTCTTACAGGAAAGCCCAGATAATAGTGTGATTTGGCATTTAAAGTGATTATATGGGTAAAAATGTCAGAATGAATATTGCATTAGCAGACATTAAGGAAAAATGACTGAATTACTTTTTCAACTATATGAAATGCAGTTTTAAAGATGTTTTATACAATTATAAGTAAGCTACTGTTTGTTTTTATGCATTTGTATTGAGCATTGAATGTCATATATTTATCCAATTGCACAAAAATAATTTCAATTGCACCATATTTTGCTTCCATTAATTACTTTTACCCTCTTATTTCGAAAACTGACTGCAGAACGGGAGATTATCAGATGCAAGAATGTGCTAAATTAAGCCTGAATAAGATTGACACATGCTACATCAAGATGAAATTATTATTAAAATGACCTACAGGTGGTCCTTGCAGTCCTTCCCCTGGAGGTCCAGGTGGGCCTGGTAAACCTCTGAAGCCAACATCACCCTGAGACACAATCAAAATGAAACACACCCTATATATTGATGATTTTCATTCCTAATATAGGATGAGCTATAATAATCATGCTACCTTTGGTCCTGGTATTCCTACGCCTCCTTGACCTGGTTCACCTGGAAGACCTGGAGGACCAGGAAGGCCCTGTAAAACAAGACGGAAAACTAACGACAAACACACAACAACAGCAAATGATGGCCTCATGCTGCATCATTAAAGGGAAAGTTCACCCAAAAATGAAAATTTACTCACTATTTGTGTCCCCACTCTTACATAAACAGCAGATTTAAATGCTTTGAATCCATTTAACTAAAATTCAAGCACTTTCAAATACTTTCAAGAAGTGTGGGAAAGCCGACCGGCCCTCATGTGGTTCCAAACCTTTATGATTTTCTTTTTTCCACTGAAACCAACAGCAGATATCTTGAATAATGTCGGATACTGATATCGCTATCCATAATTAGACAAAATCCTGACCTACTGTATCCTTTTTGTGGAGGGTCAGTAAATGAGAGAATGTTCATTTTTGGATGAACCATCTCTTTAAGACTTTTTCACAACATCATGAACATGGGATAGATTTCAATAGGTGCTTGAGAATGTTTTACGTACTGTAGGACCAGGATATCCATCCCCTTTCAGACCAGTCAGACCAGGAAGACCAGGGTCACCGCGATCCCCCTGAGAAACAAAGCACATTCATGTTTGAGGAATTCTGACAACAAATGAAGAACATGGATTTAATTTACATAACCATTGTTGAAAATTAATTTAACCTTGGGTCCAGTAAGTCCATATCCAGGATCACCTACTGGACCAGATGGACCTGGTGGGCCTACGTCACCCTGTAATAGATTTCCTTTGTGTTATGATGCAAATACCAAAAACTTGTTTATTGCATTAGAAAAGCTGGTCACACTTTATTTTGATGGTCTGTTTGTTGAATTGAAGATACATTGCATCTACACGCCAACTAATTCTCATTAGATTATAAGCAGACTGTTAGGTTGAGATTAGGGTTAGTGTAAGGTACATGTACTTGCAAAGTTTCTTATCGTCAGTTAACCAGTTAAACTCTGCTGCTATTTGGGGATCACCGCCTGGATTTTGCCTACCCAAATTTAAAAGCTTCCCAAATCCACATGCAGAAGTGTAAATGCAAAAATGTGGTCTCATTTTAATGAAAACCCTTTGAATTTTCATAAAAAAAACTATTGAAAGTGTTTCAAATAACTGTATATGTTGTCTGTGTTATAATAAACGCCTAAAAAAAGAGGCGCTTTTTGTATATATTTTTGTTTATGAACTCAAATTTGAAAGTGTACCTTTTAGGTTCTGTGTGGTCTAGCGTGCTGTAATTAATTTAGGTGGTTTCTGCACATGTCTGTAATTATATGAAAAAAGGAAAATGTCTCCACCATAATCTATGCAAAAGTTATTGTATTCCAACTGATGAGAGGTGCTGTACAAGCCACAGGGAGCGATCATTGTTTTATATTTCACTATTCTTTTGTTTAATCAAACATAATTCACTGTGTTTGGACCACATCAGACATATAAAAGGATTACTTATGCACATCACCTCAAAAACAGAGGAGAATGGCCCTGAAGCGCACAGCATAAGGTAAGAGATGACAGCTGTCTGTGCTATCTGGGGCTGCTCAGTGATCATGAATGTATTGTTTTCACTTCTGCGCCATGGAAACACTGCGATTCATTCGGCAACTGTTTGATATGTGAATATAATTCAGTAAAAAGAATGCTAGAAGCACATGAACACTGGCAAGAGCTTTCATTTGAGCTATAACTTGTACATGTGTCATGAAAAATTTGAAAATGAACCAATGTAAAATACCCAGCACGGGTATCCAAAATACTGTGTATTTAAGTGTAAATTAATTTTGTACAGTAGGATAAAAACCAAAGTGATGCATATGTGCATGGAATATAGGTTTTACACTTTTAAACGAAACCCCTTACGGGTGTCTGGTGCAATGCTAGCCCTTTAAATCTTAAAGCGACAGTTGATGACATCACTGACCCGTTACCGGGTCCGCAGAGTTTAAATGTCTGTTGAACAGCATCAACAGATAATAAGCAGACAGTCTACAAATTCTCAAATGCACCATCAAAATAAAGTGTTAACCAAAAAGTTCTTACTTTTGGTCCTGATATTGCACGTCCCGGTGGCCCAGGTAATCCTTGTCGCCCAGGGGTGCCAGGTTCTCCCTACAAAAACACCTCACATATTTATTATATAATGTCTAGGAACCAAAAAGACAAAAGATTTTTGATTAACTCATGAACTCCTCACCTTTGACCCCGAGGGTCCAGCTATTCCTGGTGGACCTGCTAATCCACGGATTCCCCTCTGACCCTGATCACCCTAAAAATTCACATAAATATTCACATTAAAATGAGAGTTCACACTTTTTGTCATAATTTACTCATCCATTTCTTGCAAGATTTTTTCTTCTGTTGTACACAAATGAAGATGTAATGAAAATTCTGGAAAAACTGTCATTGACTTTCATAGTATTTTTTGTTCCTACTATGGATGTCAATAGCTGATTTTCCCCCAACATTCTTCAGTATAGCTTTCTTTGTATTCAACAGAAGAATGAGACTCTTACAAGTTTAGAACCACTTGAGTCTGAGTAAATGTGGGAACACTAACATTAATAACACATTCATTCATATTCAAGAAATACGTAGCTTCACAGTTAAAGATTCCACGGAAAATCTTTTCCAGAAAGCTATAATTTAATGGACTCTTAAAAGTGATTTGAGAAAAATAAATGTGTAAAGCGTAGAGGAGTTACTTTTTCCCCCTGGATGCCCACTCCTGCTGCTCCTTCAGCACCTCTTAAGCCAGTGGCTCCTGGTTCTCCCTGAAATGCATACAGAATTGGATGTGTTTGGCCTTTTCAAAGATGCTGATGTAGATTAAAAAAAGTTATATTATTTAAAGGGGTTCTATTATACCCTTTATAATCTTATCTCAGGTGTCTCCAAAATGCCTCAGTGTTCATTTATATTACCATGCTGAAAATACCCCTGAAACATTTCTTTAAATGCAAATGAGCTGCTGCGTCCCCCCTCTCTTTCCAGAAATGAGCGGTGCTTAATTATAATTAGCGAATACTTAATTCTGATTAGTCAATCCCAACATTTCCCAACAAGGAAAGTATCTTCTAAATAAAAAACAAGGCTCATTTTGGGTACTACAAATCCCTTTGTTGGTGAATAGATTTATATACGCTTATTTGTCACTGTTTGGCACTATTGGACTGTTGTGAATGAATGATTATAATTGGTAGGGTTAGTGTAGGCTGCATCCAGCCATGTTTTTTTCTGCAAGCTTTACCTTTAGAGGGTTTTCATTCATTCATTCATTTTCTTGTTAGCTTAGTCCCTTTATTAATCCGGGATTGCCACAGCAGACTGAACCGCCAACTTATCCAGCAAGTTTTTACGCAACGGATGCCCTTCCAGCTGCAACCCATCTCTGGGAAACATCCACACACACATTCTCACACACACTCATACACTACGGACAATTTAGCCTACCCAATTCACCTGTACCGCATGTCTTTGGACTCTGGGGGAAACCGGAGCACCCGGAGGAAACCCACACGAATGCACTGAGAACATGCAAACTCCACACAGAAACACCAACTGAGCTGAGGCTCGACCAGCGACCCAGCAACCTTCTTGCTGTGAGGCGACAGCACTACCTACTGCGGCACTGCTTCGCCGCTTTAGAGGGATTTATTATTGTATAACGATTCCACCTCAGAATCAGATCAATGTTTTAAGACCAAGGTCTAACTGTTTACTTTTGTAACAAGAATTTAAGACAGTAAAAATCATAATAGGACCACTTTAAGAATGATTACGGTCGAACTGGTACCTTTTGTCCAGGAGCTCCGTCCTCCCCTGGTAAACCTGGTAATCCTGACAGTCCTGGAGCTCCAGGTTCCCCCTGCACATGTTTAAAATAGCACAAATCATCAAATCAACTGAACACAGAACATATAATGGGACTTGGCCAACACAATTTAGACCCTGAATGCTGCATGCAGACGTGACAGTGAACATTCTGAATAAAAGTTGTGCTTGTTTTATGCTTTCTAGCCTTTTATATCTGGACATTGATAGTCATCCTCAACTAATAAAGATCAAGGTGATCGAGATGTGTGGTCAGCTGTGTTAATAGCAAGTGTGTCTAATTTTGCTCATGTTGAATTGTTAAAACAGAGAATATTTTATTCCAAAAACCTATTTCTACAGTATGAACTACTCAAACCAAAAACTACCATGATCAAGGTTTATGGACTCGAAATTGATTCAAATTAAAATTTTCCTATGCATATTCTACAATTTGAATGAAATTAAAGCTCTTCTTTTTCTGTAAGGACCTGTATATATGAGTAATGCACAAGCACAATACCTATAAATATAAAGATTAGGGGTGTCAAAATTAATTGTTTCTTCGGTGCACCACGCTGCAGACGCAAATAATTCTGTATCGATTCAGTAATAATCATAACCGGTTATTATGTACTGATGAGGTGAGCGCAGGTATTTACAACACTCAGGAGCAAACTCAGGGCCGGCCCAAGGCATAGGCAGTATTGGAAAATGCTAAGGGCGCTGTACATACAGGGGGGCGCCAGAAATGAGCGCGGTTAAGTTGGTTTTGTTTTCGATATTCCTGATATATTCAACCCGGGCTCATTGTGGGAATGTAGTCCCGCGGACGTTTCTGGAGACTGCGGAATATGTCCCGGCGGGTACGTATGGCTGCAGTTTTTGTTTTTGCGAATCCGCGAGAGGCCGCTGTTGTGCGCTTTTTCGCATCTCAGACGCCTCTCGCGAGTGCGGTTCGCGCCCGCGCTGTTCTCGAGTGAATCGCCAGAGGCCGCTGTCCGATTGACCGGATGATTGACTGCGCGACCGGCCAATCGGCTGACCCGCCCTCCTCCTTCCCTGAACCCAACCAATGTTACCGATCGTCCTGCACGCCCGCTCGCTTCCCTAAACCCGAGCAACAGTTTACAAAAGCCGCCCAAAAAAAGAAAAGCCCTGATTTTTTTTTCTACCGTGTTTTCGGATTTCACCGCGTCCTCACCCTGTTACGAAACTCGTTCACATAATTTTTGGGATTCTGTTTTTGTCTTACCTGATTGCTGGAACCGCTCTTCTCCGGACTCGAAACAGATCGCCGTGGTCGACTCCTCTCTGCATCTCAAGCCTGCCGACGTACACGGTGAGCTGACTGGACAAACGGGTTGCAGCGGGGAAGCCCTCCACAAGGAGGTAAGCGGTCGGCCGGCCGGCAAGTGCGAAAGGGAACAGCGTGACACCGCCCTGCAGCGTTTGCTTGAAAAAAATTAACACGGCCGTACGTACCTCCCGGGACCTATTCCGCTGTCTCCAGAAACGTCCGCGGGACAACGTTTTCAGAATGAGCTTGGGTTGGACATATTCAGTGATAGATGGCAATAACTCAAAAACCTCTTACCCTAAAAAGATCTAAAGTGTGTTTCCTACAAAAAGACAAAGCTGGTTATGTTTCACAGCTGTCTGTTTCTTTTTTTCGCTCGACATTACGACCACTGCTCCGTTTAATATGCGTTTAGCCGAGAGAGCTCGCGCCGAGCAGCGCTCTCAGTAAAGGTCTGAAAAGTGCTTTATCTTTACTAACAAATAGCATGGACAAATAACTAACTCATATCGATTTGATTATTTTTATTTTATACTTTTGCTTTTTGCATTACCCCTTTGTAATCAGCAGGGGCCCTCAGTGTGCTATGTTTCTAATGCATCTGACCAGTGAATCCAGCTTGTGTAATGGTGTAATCTTATTAAACAGCGACTTTAGAGATCATAGTCTGTGTTTTTTTCCCAGAATTTTAAGAGGTGGCAACATAAAGACGCCTAAAGTAGCACTGGATACCTGAGGTTTTTATTTTTATATTGCACTTTACCAGCTTGGCTTGTGAAACTTCCATGTACTTCCATTTAATCATTATGTCCCATGGTATAGTGAACAGCTCCCAAAAGTTATTATCTTTAAATAATTGTTCGAATAGAGGACTTAACATCAAGCAGAGCTTCTACATAATGTCATCTGTAGCTATAAATGGTGAGAACTGTATATTTTACCATATATTATATTGTATATTTTACGGTATATTTCAATGGATTCTGACAAGCTGTCAGCGTTTTAGCTTGGAAAAGAATCATTCTGAAAGTGATCTAAAGATATTAGTTCGCTATATTTGTATAGACATTGTTATGATTATCAGCGATCTAGCAGTTGCAGATCGCTAACGGACTACAAATTCCCCATTATCGAACTACAAGATCCAGTCATGCATCACACACACACTCCTGTTCGGGATCACGATTGATTACATTCACACAGCTGGGAGCTGCTCAAAGACTGATTAGATAGATTAAAAGCAGCACAGAGACACACACACACACACATTGCTGAGTCTTGTTTATCTGTAAACATTACGACCCGTTCTCCTTGCCTTGTCCTGTCGTGTACCAATCATTGTTTATTTGTTTGTTTACGTTGCCTGCTGCATGCCTGTATTGACCGCCTGTTATTCGACCACACCTCTGGATTCCCTGTGTCCGTCTGTTTGCCCCTGTGTTGACTGTTGCTTGACTGTCCATTTTGTTTAATAAACCTGCGTTTGGATCCACACCTCCTTGTCAGTGTCCATCACGTTACAGATATAGCTGTGGTCTGAACTCTGCTGTTGTTTAAGATTCTGAATGATTGTAGAGCTCCATCGTTACCACTATATTTATAGTTATCATGCCTGATGTGAACGGCCCTCAAGAGTAAGATTGCGAAATTATAAAGATAATACAGTCAGTAATGTTTTCAGAATAAAGTGAAGAAGACTTACTTTAGCTCCTGGTTCCCCGGCTCCTCTCTCTCCTGGTGCACCACTCTCACCTGGTAAACCTTGATCACCCTTCAAGCACATACAGACATCCTTAAATGAAATTTGCCGAAGTCTAATATGAGTCATTTAAATACCGTTAATGATAAAAACTCTTGCCTTTGGTCCTGGGTAGCCCTCGCCTGGTGGTCCTCTGCTTCCAGGGGGTCCACGCGGTCCTTCTATACCCTAAAAATCGAATAAATGCATTAGTATACATGAATGTACTATACAGTTTACATAATTCTCAAGTTTTTTTCATACTTTCTCTCCTTGTACCCCTATTCCAATTGGCCCAACTGGTCCTGGAAGCCCAGGAGAACCAAAGTCCCCCTGTTAAAATAGCAAAAACCCAAATAAACACACTGTCAAGCAAATTTGTCAGATGATGCACAACCTTATATAAATGATTTGGAATGTGTTATGGATACAATATTCATATATGTTGGCCACAGGCTGAGAACTGACAGCACTGCATGCTGGGACATGCTCCTTCAAACATCCACAGAGAAGAGTTTAATAAAGCAAATATGGAAATAAGTTACACCGCAAACCACAGAGTTAAAGGGTTAGTTCACTCAAAACTGAAAATTCTGTCATCATTTACTCACCTTTTACTTGTTTCAAACCTTCATGAGTTATTTTGAAAAATGTTGGAAACGTGGAAGCATTGACTTCCATTTGTTTTTCCTACTATGAAGGTCAGTGGTTACATTGCTCTTCAAAATATCTGCGTTTGTGTTCAACAGTAGAAAGAAACTCAGAAAGGTCTGAAACCACTTGATGGTGAGCAGATAGTGACTCATATTTCATTTTAGGGTGAACTATCCCTTTAAGAACAAAAATGTGGATTAATTCTTCTGAAAGAAAACAGCATCAGAGTTGCAAAGAAGAAAAAAAATGCATAAGATAATAACTCAAAGCTTATTGGATCTCGGTGCTTACTTTGTCTCCTTTAATGGCAGTACCTGCTGGTCCTCGGGGTCCCCTTGGCCCCTCCAGACCCCTCTCTCCCTGTAAAAGACAAACATTTAAACTAAGAAATTCATTAAAAGCACTGCCATTCCTATTTTTTATTTTTGCTGTAGCTGATATTTGCAGGTCACAATTAATCTGAGATAGGAGCTCATTTAGATGTCAATATATATATATATATCAGCGATTATTTACAGCCAATGAGAGAGCTGCATCTACTAGTGTGGGTATCAGCAGGCTAACAGGAGGTTGGCAGGAGCGCCAGTGTTTGTTTGACGTGTCATCTGAGCAATATCACAACCGGGTCAAAACTAAAAAAGGTGATGAGAAATTGCTAATTCCATTAAAGAGCCAGGCAAGCACTCAGAAATATAAACTTGGAGGTCACAAGGTTCAGACATTTCAAAGGCTCCCTGATAAAAACCATGCGCTCAAGACACAACGTGGATAAAACACATAATAAACCTCTTGATAGCCTTGATAGGTCTCACGATAACAATGATAAACATGATGTGTATACCTTTGGTCCTGGAAAACCCTCTCCTGGAGGGCCCTTTTCTCCTGGCGAACCTTGTGGCCCCTGTGGCCCCTTTAGAGTAAACATTATTGTAGAGATTAGGACTGCTTCAATATATTCAATTCCAATTGTAATCAATAGTATATGCAGGACGGTGTGTATGTTTCAGAATCAGCTTCATTGGAAATACATGCCTCAGCCTCTGCAAAATGTGAAATTAGTTACTTAGGGTACATTTCAACGCACGTTTCAGATTACAAATCCACTAGAGGGTGCTGTGTACATTTTTGTGAATCTCGAAATTACATTAGTTATGGTAGATTTTGCTGTAAAATTCAGATAAACGTCCTTTTTGTACACGTCCAAGAGAAGGTGGAGCTTGTTGTACAGATCAGCAGCAAACCTCTGACCGAAACCCTTCCTTAAACCCAACCAATAGTGTTTTCAATAGCACACATACATGAAAAGTGCACTACGACCACATAGTTTTACGATTATTTTACATTGCTCTTTTGTGAAAGTATGCTTCACAGGACTCCCTCAAGCACAAGAACAAGCCCATACAAAGTGAGCTACGATCAAACTGACCACACCATAGATAGGTGACGTAAACGTATTCAAATCACAAACCCTGTTAAGTTGATTTGTGGTGTTTATTTGGTGTTGTGCAATGAACTGCATGAAAATAATCCTTTTTTCATCGATAATATGTGCCTGTAAATATCATTAGTGTGAAAAGGAACAAAAGTTGATGGTGTCATACGATTAATTTTACCTAGAAACTGCAGTCAAATGTATGTTGAAGTACATTTTTGCAGTTCCACTAAAGTATAGGCTGAAGCACATATTTCTAATGAGCCTGTGTTGATTCATTTTATTTGCTGTTCACCGGTAAACCTGGCTCCCCAAGCCCAGGAAGCCCAGGAGGACCCATTCTTCCCTGAAATCCCACATCACCCTAAAAGTAAATAATAAAATCACATGTGTTATGATCACCAACACTACTCAAATAGGCTCATAATACCAGAAGATTTTAAGTATATAAGCCAACCTTTGGTCCTTGAAGTCCAATGCCAGTCTCTCCTTGTATCCCTGGGGGTCCGGGAAATCCTCTCTCACCCTGAAGACGCAGAAATATGTCAAACATTGATAATCAGTTGAAATGTAAACACAAGATTAGACCACCAATCAAACCACAACAATACATTTATACTCATGCTGTGTTTTCAAAATGAGCTCAAACCTCGTGCAATCACAAAATAAATCAGAGTAACTGCTATTTTGGCTGAAAGCTTGATGACTCGCATTGCTGCCCTATTATGCAACATATACAAGGTAACTGGTAAAAAAAATAGAAAGAACTTTGGTAATAACTAAGCAAATATTTCTTAAGCACAAAACCTTTTTCTAGCTATAAATGACTTAAAAAAAAAAAAAAAACTGAACCAAAAACCCCAACTAATTAAAATGATCCGATCAGAGTCTCCAGATAACAACTCACTGATTCAAACTGTCTGTTCAGAATGGCTCTCCAGTGAATGATTCACTGATTTTACAAGCTGATCTGAATATAAAAACTAAACAATGTTAAAATAACGTAAATCAATGCTCATGAATTTCCACTGCGGTAGCACATAATAAATATAAAACTGGTAAAAGTCTTTTTTAAACTGTATGTTTATATTTGTCATTACACATTTACACTTATATTTTACACTTACACTTTTATTTACACTATTTTGTTATATACTAAAACTGGGCTATATGATGTGTTATTTTCACTAGTTTGTATACTGGAATAATCATGAATTTTCAATATGGTTATCAAGTTATGATAAATAAGCCAATTAACTACTAAATAAACATTCATTGTGATCTACTTTTTAATTATAATACTTTTAGAGCCCTTAAAATCTAAATTTAAAGTGCAATTGTATTTAAAATGAAAAAGGAGGACCTTATACTAACTGGAGAATTATTTACTCGAGTACCTGTACGTTTACATAAGCACCTGATTTGTGAATTTTGTCCACCACAAACACTGATGAATGTTTTAATGTTCATATTTGTTTATTAAATGAATAATATACAATTATTTAATTAATTAAGGCCATCCTTAATTAATTATGTGGTTGAGTTGTCGCAGTCATTTATTTATTTATTTATTTATTTATTTATTTATTTATTTATTTTTGCACCTGCTGTTTGTAAAAAAAAAGCTGCTTTACTGCGAGCCAAACCTAAGATTGCTGATTTTATTGATGAGACTCACTTTTTTTCCTGGTAGGCCTTCAGGTCCAACATCTCCATTGGGTCCTGGCAAACCCTGCAGAGAAACATGAGAGTGAATACAGTAAACTCTGATGAAATATAACTGCTTTGCACAGATTAAGTCTGAAAACATACTTGCAGCCCTCGACTTCCTCTGATGCCAACAGGACCCTCAGGACCCTTTAATAAGTCACATTCAGTCAAATGAAAATACAGTATATTACGTATATCAGAAGAGCTGATCTAAAGCATCACTCACCCTGTCTCCTTTCACTCCTGGTGTTCCACACTCGCCTCGCTCACCCTAAAATATATACTTTTACATTTAATATTATTAATACACATTTTAAATGATAAAATATTGGTTAAAGCAATTTGCACATCTTACATTTAAAAGTACAGCAAGCCAATTGAAAGTGTATATATAAAAATTAAAAAAATTTTAGAAAACAAAAACAAATGCATGCAGATGAGACTGTTTGCAGTTTAATTTCACCAATATTTTATACATTAAAGCTTAAAGTAGACAATGTATTTGCACATACTGTGCTTGCTCTGTAAAAAATCACTTATAATTTCATTACATTTCTAAATTTAGTCAAGTCTTTGACCCTTGTGCATTTTGTAGACAATTTTATAATAATTTTTTCATACATTTCAAAGTTTCATACATTATTTGGCAATTCAGCCTCATGCTAGAATCATGTTTGACTTGTTTTCCAATTATAAATCTCTCAGTTTATGGTATAATTTTACCTTTTCTCCTTTGTATCCAGTTTTCCCCTACAAAAAAACACACACATGCTGAAAAAGAGCAATCATACAATGTCAAACATTTGTGAATTGAGGCCTCTTTCTGGTCAGCTTCACCTCTGTCCCATCTCGTCCAGGAGCACCGCTCGAACCGCCCTCTCCCTGCAGGACAAACGGCTCGTTTTAGATGGGGACACATTATTTCTGAATTATTTATGGTTGTTTTAGAAAACTCTGACCTTTTGACCTTTAGGGCCTGGACTTCCGTCATCTCCAGGACGACCCTTTTTACCCTGCAGTTCTCAGCGGAAGAGCATTAACAATAATAATGATTCAAACTGGCATTTAATTCTGATAACATATAGAAATAGTGTTTATATGTTCCTTTTTAGACCTATTAAAATTAATGTATGCTAGAATTTAATTTTGTTTTTAAATGTTATCAGTATCTGAATTATATATTTAGTGCGACTACAGTTTTTTTGTCCATATTTACATTTATTGTATAGTGTAAAAGTCTATATCACAGGCTTGTTTTTTCTCTTTAATGTTCCTTATTGGAGCTGTATGATCAACAGCTGTGTGACAAAAAAGAAAAATACGTGCAAAAAATGTTGGCTGAGCAAATAATTTTTTTGACATTTTTAATAAAACGCAAAAATTCTAATATGTCCAGCAAATTACAGTTACCGTTTGATGGGTGTTTTGTCTCTTTGATCAAAATGACTGGAAGACAGAATTTATATAAATAAAGGGTGTGATAAAATGTGCATATATGACCATATAACCGTATGAGTCGCTTTAGTGACATTGATTAAGATGCATGCATGGATAGACAGATTAATAGATGGATGGATGGATGGATGAGTGGATGAATGTACAGATGGAGAGATGGATGGAGTAATAGATGGATGGATAGATGGATAAATGGATGAAGAGACGAATGGAGTAATGGATGGATGGATGGATGGACGGACAGATAGATGAACATGGATGGATAGATGGATGGATGGACAGACGGACAGACGGACAAGCAAATGGATGGATGAATGGAGCAACAGATGGATAGATGGATGGACGAATGAATAGACACGGATGGATGGATGGATGGATGGATGGATGGATGGATAAACAAATGGATTGATGAATGGAGCAACGGATGGATGAACAAACTAACAGGTGATGGATGAATGGATGAATGAATTGACAAACAAATGTATGGTTGAACAGATGAATGCATGGGTGGAGTAATAGATGAATGGATAGATGGAAAGACGATGGTTGGATGGATGAACAGATGGATGGATAGATGAATGAAGCAACAGATGGATAGTTGGATGGGTAAACGGGTGGATGGATGGATGGATGGATGGATGGATGGATGGATTAATGGATGGATGGATGGATGGATGGATGGATGGATGGATGGATGGATTAATGGATAGATGGATGGATGGATAGATGAATGGATGGATGTATGGATGGATAGATGGATGGATGGATTAATGGATGGATGGATGGATAGATGGATGGATGGATGGATGGATGGATGGATGGATGGATGGATGGATGGATGGATGGATGGATTAATGGATAGATGGATAAATGGATGGATGGATGGATGGATAGATGGATGGATGGATGGATTAATGGATAGATGGATGGATGAATAGATGAATAGATGAATGGATGGATGTATGGATGGATAGATGGATGGATGGATAAATGGGATGGATGGATGGATAGATGGATGGATGGATGGATGGATTAATGGATAGATGGATAAATGGATGGATGGATGGATG